CAACGTTTATTTATTTTTGGGACAGAGAGAGACAGAGCATGAACGGCGGAGGGGCAGAGAGAGAGGGAGACACAGAATCGGAAACAGGCTCCAGGCTCTGAGCCATCAGCCCAGAACCCGATGCGGGGCTCCAACTCACGGACCGCGAGATCGTGACCTGGCTGAAGTCGGACGCTTAACCGACTGCGCCACCCAGGCGCCCCCACATTTTCACATTTCTAAAATTAGGATGTATCTTACAATATGTGTACATTTATTGTAATATTTCTTTTTTTCCAAAAGGCTGTGTTGACTCAATATTGTATCATATAATTAACTGAATCTTAGAATCAAAGAAATATAGTAAAGTATGTTCCTGATCTTTCTTTCTTTTTAAGTAGGCTTCATGCCCACATGGAGCCCAACATGGGGCTTGAACCCACAGACTTGAGACTAAGACCAGAGCTGAGATCAAGAGTCAGACACTTAACCGAATGAGCTACCCAGGCGCTCCCTGATCTTTCTTTTATAGTCAGAATAAAGATATATGAAACAAAGAACAGCAAAAAAGAACTCTCTACTGGTTCTCCATTGCCTAGAACCACACCATCCAATAAAAATATGATGCGACCTACACAAATGTAATTTAAAATTTTCTAGTTGCTACTTTTTTGCTAAGTAAAAAGAAACAGGTGAAATTAATTTCAGTAATGTTTTTTAGTCAACCCAAAATATCAAAATCAATATTTGACACATAACCAGTATTTTAGACATTAGCAATAAGGCAGTTGACTTTTTCTTCATGTCCTCCGAACCTGCGTGTAATTCACATCTGTCACACCGCGTTTCAAGTAGTTGGTGGCCCCATGTGGCTAGTGGCCACAGTATTGTACCATCTTCTCTACCACGCAAGATGGCTCCCAGTGCCCTGATGCCACCATTCTGCACCTCCACACCTTTCTATGGGCCGCTCCCTCCCTCAGGGGTTCTCTGTCCCTTCTCTCCACCTACCGAGGCCAAAATCAAACTTAACTTTTTGTAATTGACTGTCCCATGCCACCTTCTCCACACCTCTCCAGCACCGGGCAGATGGTACGCCAGTGTAGACTGTCACCATGCTGCCGGGGTTAAAATCCCAGCTCTTGAACTTATGAAGTCACTGTGTGACCTTGGGAGATCATTTCACGTCTGTTACCTCATCTGTGAAACAGAGATGATGACGGTACCTACCTCGTGTCCTGGAAGATTACTGGAAGGATTAAGTGAATTGCTAGGTTAAGTACTTCAAACAGTAGCTAGTAAGTGTTGTCTGTTCTAAGTGCTTGTCGCTATTATTAGTAGCAGTACCGTTGCCATCATCATTATTTGAGCACGTCCCACAATGTAAGGCAGCTCTCTGGATTGGCAGGAAGGTTCGCCTTGTGTGCCAGCTTCTGCACGGCTGGTGATTAGCCAGGAAGCAATGTTGAGAAGTGTGCTCTGGCCTCCTTCCCACTTGGATGTGACCATGGGGTAGAAGGGTAGACGCACATGTGAAGTGAATTTGCCAACTCTACTACACTTTGGGAGGCTGAAAGGATCTTTCTAGCAAGCCTTGTTCACGTCTGTGCTCGCCTCTGCCCGGCCCGTGGCAGGTGCTCAGGAAACGTTAGCTCAGTGAGGCCACGGAGACGTGGTCCTCAAGCTTTATCATGTCAATGGTGGCTTGGGAGCAAGGTGGCCTCAGTAACATGGTGGTGATGGGACTCCCTTCCGGGACTCTTAGGACTGTGAATTACAGCCCAGGAAGAAGACTGTGGCTCACCCGTTTCCCACGCCATCGTAAACCCAGTGAGTGGAGCCGATGCCCTGATAGGCTGACGCCCAGTAATACAGACATGAGTTCAAATGCAGACTGTAGAGCAGGTAAGCCGTGGTCCTGATCACCCTGTGAAAGAAGGAAAAGCATGAACACAGTGGCAGGAAGGGCGGCCATGACACCTCACCCCAAGGGTAGGACTGCTGGGAACAAGTCCACCTTCACCTCCCCCAACGCCCACCTCAGACATCACCCTGTTGGAGCTTCACAGCCCTGCCCCGCTGCCTGACAGGATGAACATCTGGCTGCGGGGACCCAGCCAGTGGCCGGACTGCACCAAGCGGATGCTCTTTTGAGACTGCGCCAGCTAAGGCCGGTGGTGTGTGAACAGCCAGCTGTCAAGGCCGGGGGCTGGAATGACCCCGAATTCCATGTGCAGACAGTTCTGGGGGAGTGAAGGACCAGACGGGGATGTACCGTTGGAGAGGGGCAGAGAAGGGACAGATGTGTGCAGAGAAGTGCCACTCCGTGAGCAATGTGGGGAAGCTTTGTCCCTGAGCGTGGCCTGGCTGGTCTTGTGCCCCGTTCTCAGACATCCAAGAGGTGGCCACCATTCCCCCATGTTTGAGCTAGATTTCAGGGCTCAGTTCCCTGAGCTGAGATCAAAATGAGGCCCGGCTCCCTGGAAACACGGGTGAGCCATGCATCTGAACCTACGTGTGCCCTCCTCACAATTGGGGGAAACGGGACATTCCTGGTTCTCTAAAAAAAAAACAAACAAACATCCCTTCAGAGAAGGGCCAGGAAAAGGCCTGGCTTCCGGTAGTGCTGGGGCCTGCACGGCTAGGGGGGCTTGAAAGGAGAAGAAGTGTGGGTAGAGAATGCCTAGCTCTATAGTTGCTGCAAATGGCCTGTGTCGTGTGTGTGTGTGTGTGTGTGTGTAGGGCATCTCACCTGTAAATGTAGGCTTTGCTGAGGATGGATTCCAGGCGGCTGTTAAACTCGAAGAAGGCCATGTACTGGGAAGAAGGCAAAACATCAGGACAGCCCGTGTGTGGGGGTGGCCCTCTACTCTCCTGGTCTGTTCCCCAGAACAGAGGGCTGTCTCTGCAGCGCCCCCCAGAGGAGGGCAGAGAGTGTGCATTCAAAACCAGGGGTCCTCAGCCCTTTGAGGGGTGGGGGCGAAGAACTCCATGTACCAGTTTGCTGGAAACAATAGCCCCTCTTCCCCTAGAAATCACACCCAGTCATGCTCTCACAGTCTGCATGGGGGTCAGGGGACTCCCAGACTTCTGAAGTCTGCCATGAAATTTTTAGGGATACACGCATCTCAGGTTAAGGACCCTGTTTTCAACATTTACCTATAAAGGAAGACATTTTATAAAGAAACAGCATCTCTAACGCCCTGACTTAGATCCTTCAAAGACTTGTTTATAACAATAAAAGTGTAATAGTAACTGCTCTTCTTTACTGAGCACCTTCGACGACTGCACTTTATATGCATCACCTTTTTTACTTATTGGTATGTGTTGTCATTCTCCTTTTACAGAGAGGAAGTTGGTACTTAGAGAAGTTGAGCCACCGGGCCAAAGCACACAGCTGCTGGGTGACAGTCAGGATTTGAACCCAGATCATACTCAAAGCCGCAAGCTCCCTCCCTTACGCTACACTGCACACATGTTGTTTGACATTGGAAAATGGCAGTGAGGGAAATTCCCTGAGGGATGTGCCGGTCATCCTCCGGGTGGTCATTCCAGTGTCCCTCCGGAGTCTGCACTGGATGCAGGGGGCTGTGGGCTTGGATCTCTCTCCCTTTAGGCTCAGACTTTTGTCCGGAGTCGTGGTAAACATCAGGCAGCCGAGTGACGCACGCTCACAACCACCGTGCGAACCCAGGGATGGATCCCGCTGCCACATGTGGAGGAAAACTTGGCTTGTGGATCCAGCCTTCCTTGCTCTGGTGTCGAGCTCTAAAGCAGCCTGCCTCTGCAGCCCCAGGGGGCTGGCATGTGTCAGCGAGGACTGGTGCCACTTCCACTTTCCTCCTGCCTCTTGGCAGCCGGGAAGCTCAGTAGCGGCATCCGTGCTCGATCCCAGCAAGATGTGCTTTCTTTTCATCAGAGGACTTGCACGCTTCCTATTTTCCTCTGCCCTGTTTCTCCACGTTATTGAGGTCATTGTGTTTGCCTCTTCTGTAAATTCCCTCATTACTGTTTTGGGGAAGAGGCCATAGTATCACGTGAGGAGAGAGCTGAATTTAATGGGTCTGCCAGGAAAACCCATCTGGGGATCCCAAGTGCTCTGGCTGTCTATCCCGGTCACATTAAAGGACAGCGACCAGGTCTCTACTTTACGTTGTGTCACCTTCACTGGGACACAGGGCGCTTTGCCCCAGTGGCGGGAGGGACGGCTGTAATGACCCTGAGCAACAACCAAGGAAACAGGTATAGGGCTGCAGATCCAAACCCACCCTGGGCACTTCCTGGCTCCTGTGCCCTTGGGCAAGTCACTCAAGCTTTTCAAGCTTCAGTGCTCCCATCTTTCAGATGCAGGCCCTCATAAAGCGGAAGTTCCTCTGTTGTGTTTCTGTAATTACTGAAAGCATAGACGGTGGAGATAGGCTGCCTGGGTTCAAACCCGGACGCCATTCCTTCCTACCTGTGTGACCTACAGCAAGTTATGTAACCTCTCTGGTGAAATACTGGTACTAACAACACTCACCTCATGGGGTTGAGGCGTAAGTACTTCTAAAGTTCCAGGACAATACCTAACACACAGCACAACTAAGAAGCTCTAACCATTGTAAGGAAATTCCCATCTCCCCTTGGACCACCCTGGTTTCCTCCCCCGATCCCCAGCCCCCTCCCTGGTGCCGCTCAGGGCAGACATTAAAATGTCAGTGCCGGCGCAGAGCACGGAGGGGCTAAAGGCCTTGGATGGGAAGCCTACCTTCAAACAGCGGGGCAAGCGCAGGAGGGAATTCACACCGAACTTCAAGTAGAGAAAGTCCAAGGGCAGGAGGCAGAGCACGTCCATCTGCAATCCCAGTGGGACAGCACAGGGTGTATAAAACAGGCAGCCCCAGGGTTTGGGGCTAGGTGAGTGACAGGGTCTCTACCTTCAGTGGGAAGGTGAGGTCAGACTGCCCCAGGAAGGGACGGAGAGCATTCTGCCACCAAGCCCATTTGCCTGCCCTGAGCGATCCTGGTGGGAATCGCGTCACATAAGCCCCAAAGCATCCAGGGCCCCCAGAAACCACCTTCCAAGACCCACTGGGATCTGCACTCCTGGCACGTACCTTAAAGCGGCGAGATTTCAGGTAGTTATTGCGCATCTCCTTCTTGTCCGTCTGAAAGAAATGGAATGTTGACCATGAAATGGCCCGAGACCTTAATCTCTGACCCCGTGGGAGCAGCTTGGAAATGCCTGCAGAGCCTCCAGCTTTCCTCTCAGAGAAGCCGCTGGGAGCTCCTGTGAAAGCCTCGGCGTCTGCAGGTAGGGAGGTGGAGGCTCCCAGAAGGAGGGAGTTGTCCAAGGTCACCCAGCTAGACTCCCATTTCCTAGCTGGAAAGTCAGTATCAGGCTTATTGTCTTAGCATGTTGGTCCTAACTGGACCATTTGCAACCCTGTTTACCGAGAAACTGGCAACTGCTTGGATCAGGCCTGGAAAAAGACTGCCCATGGAATTCTTTTTCCTCTAAATCATTTAAGAGACACAACCCTAACCTGCCTGCACACAGAGGAGCAGGCACCACCAGTGTGGCATTTTGGAAAGTGACCCGCACAGGGAGACAGGGACTGGGCCCCCTGCCTTCGCCAAGTCAGAATCGGGACTCAGTTTCCTCCCCGGTAATGGGGCCTGCGCCAGTGCACAGGGTCTCAAGCCGGTTCAAACGGCATGCTCTCTGCGGGACCCCCAGGAAATGTCATTTGTCAGCAGTTCTAGGCTCTGAGCAATCTGCGTACATCATCTCAATCCACCCTCACAGCAACGCTATGGGGTGGGAACAGTTACTACCCCCATTTTACAGATGAGGAAACTGAGGCTCAGAGGGGTGCTTCAGTTGGTTGTGGTAGAGCTGGGATCTGAACCAGGTCCACCTGAAGGTCATTTTCTGGTCCGCTTCTCCATCTTTAATTCTATCGGGTGGTCCAGTAACCACTTCACCCATGAGCAGTATTTGAAGCATGTGATTTGAACAAGCATGGGTGGACGTTTCTGAGATCTTGTTCATCTATCTCGTCTACCACAGCAGCAGGGGGCAGGCCTTCTCCTGAGGCCCCGGCCGCCCCCTCCACCTGCCCGGGACTCACAATGATGTCTCCCCCTCTGACAAACTGCAGGCGCAGCTGGAACACGGTGATGTCCAGGAAGTAGATGAGGTCACACAGATAATCCATCGCCAACCAGAGGTGGATGTTGTTTGGCGTCTGGTAGGGGAAGGCCCAGCGCACGGGAATCAGCCAGCAGTTCCAATTCCATGCCAGCACCACGAAGAACAGCCACAGGATGTACATCAGGTCTGCAGGGGAGTGAGGGGGCAGGAACGTGCTAGAATGTCAGTTGGAGAAGGGCTCCTCACAGTAGGTTCAGGGTGGGACTTCTCCCTTTCCACTTGTCTATTCCCGCAAGTACTAGATGTGGTGCTTCTGTAACTGGTGTGTGTGTGTGTGTGTGTGTGTGTGTGTGTGTGTGTGTGTGTGTAAAACTATTTTGATTTAAACATAAATCACTGCTAGGCCCTAATAAATCAGAGTACTCAGTGAGGGGGAAGGGGGACTATAGGGGCATTATTTCATAATAGGCAGCTAACTAGAAAATACTTTTGCTCTCATTCTTGTTGAAAAATTTCCAAAAATGTATTTGCTGCTTGTAAATACACCATAGTAAATAATGCATAGAAGATGGACACATGGACACATGAACAGGTGGATGGATGGATGGATGGATGGATGGATGGATACCGTAGGTCACCCGGTCACTTTAGAGGCCCAGTGGACACCAGGGTTGGAGTCCTGCGCCCACAGGACTTCTTATGTGACCTTGGGAAAGTCTGTCTCAGGCACCTGCCTGCCTCTCCAGGGAACTCAGCTAAGAAAGGCCGGGAGACTCTTTGTAAACTGTAAAGTGCTGCGCCACAGGAAGGGTTGTCATTCCTGAGGAATAGCACATGGGCTGAAAGGGAAGTGAGGGGAAGTCACTTTAGATGTCAGAGGAACTTCTGCCCTTCTCTGCTTAGAGCAGCAGCTCCAAGAAGGAGCCAGCAAGAGCAAAGTAGAGAGTAGACTTGGCTAAGAGTCAGGGCTCCTGGGTCTGCCACTAATTAGTTGTGCCTCAGTCTCCTTGTCTGTAAGGTGGGTGTGATCATAGGTTCCTATTTCAGGGGCTGTTTGTTTCTGGCGTGCCCTTGCCCTTGTCCTTCCCCCCCTCCTCCCTCCTGTTCTCCTGCCCTCACACAGTACGTGGTGGCAGTTCCCGGGCACACCCAAGACTCACTGGTCAGCGGGTCAATGCTCTGGGGAAACTTGTACGTCCTCCAGGGGCGGCGCTTGAACTTGCAGCAGAGCATGTCACAATAGTGTTCCTCTTCCTCCGCCTGTCCCGCTTCAGTGGGTTTTACCACCGGGGCCGACTCTGGGGCTTTCTTGGCTGGAGCTGTGGGATGACACCAGTGACCATCTACCCCAGCCCTGAGGCTCAGGCAGAGGATGCAGAGAGAAAGCTCCCTACCGCAGACTCCGGGACTGGAGCCGAGGGGACCCTGTCCCCACCCCACAGCCTGCTGTCAGTTCCGCGTGCAACAAACTGCACAGCTCCTGATCAGGGCACCCTGGGCACCCGCCCAGACTCTCTTACCAGCTACCAGTCTGGAACTGCCTCCCAGGAGCTGCCCAGAATGAGGTGTTTCTGGGCAGGCTGGATGTTTCCACCAGGTATATAGGCATCTGTGTTTAGACCCCCTTGGGTCCCTCTGGAGGGTTGGGGGCATTTAATAACCCCAGCCTCCTGCCACCCGGAGCCAGAGACTAGAGAAACCTTGTTCTGGGTTTTTCAGAGCAGGAACCTCAGCTCCTACATCTCTGAAACCAGACACTGAATGAGGCCAAGTCTCCCTGTGCATCGAAGGTAATGTCATTGGTGACCCAGGGATTGACTTTTGTTAAGTGCAATGTGCCTTTCTAGCATTTGGACTGGAGTCAGGCCCTGTGAGGTCCATCATTGGCACCCTGAGTTCTGAGGCACAGTCCTCCTTTTGGAAGACCTGGAAAACCTCCCTGGCAAGAGAGTTCTCACTCCTCCTGAAATCTTGAAAACAGGAAACTTTCAGGTAGCCCCATGAGAATACTGCAGCTGGGGCCTCTGAAAAAGAAGACTGGTTCCTGAGTGGGTTGTGGATACTATCTGAGTATAAGGCCATGAGATGCATCCCAGGCTGAACCACCTGCCTACCAACGGGAAAGGGGCAGTGAAGATACTTGCCCTGTGGGAGGGGAGCCAAGTACAACTGGATCATCAGACAGAACTGTGACCTTACTCCCTCCCCTGGGTACATAGCTAAACCTGTATATAAGGACTCAAAATTCCAGACAGTGGGGATCTGGGCTTCTCTTGAGCAGCCCAACCATTCCCTGGGGCCACCCTCACCATGAGTTTACAAGAGGGGCCTGTTTCTGGCCGAGTGAGCCATCCCAGCTCTGGACTCACAGGGCTTGGGGCTCTCCTCATCAGACGTGACATCGGGGTCGATGAGCTTCTCCTTCACCTTCTCTGTCCGCTCCTTGAAAAGCTTCACCAGCTCCTGGAGCCGGTCGTTGATGATGGCGCTGTTCTGGCTGGCCGTGGAGGTTGCGCGGTCCTGGCCACTGTGGAAACACCACCCAAAGCTGAGTGGGCTGAACGGGTCGGGACCCCTGTGCCTCTGGGCGAGAACTGAACAGCATCTGTATCCCACCTGGCCTGGAGGAGGTAAAGACTGCCCCAGCTTCCCTATGACATCAGAAACATCGAATCCACTTTAATGGCTCCGGGGAGGAAATTCAGTCTGGGGCTACCCCCCAAGTGCCCAGCTTCTAGAGAACGTACCACGCAGGGTCTGCCTCAGATGAGCAGTTCTGAGAAAAGTTTGATTCCACTCGTGATTGAGGGGGGAAACTCTTGGAACTCAGGTCAGGGCTGTTAACCAGTTTGGGGCTCACATGAGATTCGTGCCTGGGACAGATCAAAGAGGGGACAGGGCTACTTTTTTAGGCGTAGGAAATATTGGTGGAAAAAATGGTGCAGATACATTAGATATCCTTTTAATTTATAGGAATTTAAACTGTATGCACTTGCAGCAAGAGAGACAGAGAGACAGGCAGAGAGGGAATGAACGTGAGCGAGTCTGCCTGACACCCCCCTCGGGTGATCGGGTGAGGCAAGCACCCTGGCTGAGTTGAGACAGGTTGTGAATCGGCTGTAGCCTCACGGTGACCATCTTGCTGAGTTGAGTGTAATACGAGTGTTTTCACCTCTATTTGTTTTCATACACTGAGGCCCCGGAACTCAAGCCAGCTACTCCCCTTGTGCTCCCTGGAGGAAGCAGGCTGGAGACAGGCAGTGTGAGGGTCCTGACAATAGACAGCGTGCAGGTATGGTGGAGACACTGGTTGCTTGCCAACTTCTGCTCTCTCCCACGGAGAGTAGTCGCTGGAACGTAGACACCCGGCCATGGACTGCATTTCCCACGTGTGGCCAGGCGAGCTCCCATCGGGGGGATGTGATGCACATACTACATGGGTCTCCTGGACCTCTTGTCTGGTGTTCCCCCCTTCTAGGGGTGACCAGCAGGGTCTTGGAAGCCACATGAAGGTGGCAAAACTGCTGTCGGCAGGGTCCCTAAATGACTGCATGGGGGTTTCAGGTCCACTGACCTGAAACATGTGTCTAGTGACATGATTATGATTTCTGAGACATCTTGTTACTTATGCCACTGAATCTGTGGGGTCTATTTGTTACAGCAGCTTAGCCTACCTAGCTAATACATGGATCTCCACATTGAACTTCTTAAGAGACTTTGAGTAATTTTTATTATTATACCTGGTTTCTGCCTTGTTTTCTGATACTAAACTCTAACCCTATCCCTACCATACTGCATAAGATGTGACTCCATACTAAAATGGACCACTGAACTCTGGATGAGGTTTGGGGTTTTTTTCCTGCTTCTTTAACTTTTCTGAACTTTCCACAACTCTGTGAAACCAACTCCATAAAATTGTGGGTGGAAAAAAAAAAGGCTGGAAGAGAAGCCCAGTGCCTCCTGTGGCCTTTCCAGGAGCTGTGGTGGGACAGGCTGGAGATTCCAGACCAGAGCCTGGGGCCAGGGTACTCATCATCAACTTGACAACTCAGATTCTTCAGGAAAACATCTCCCATTGTCCCAGTCCTTGAAATAGTTAGATGTCAGAGACCCAGGTCCCAATGCCCTTACCATGGCCTCTAAACATTGTCCCACAGGTCAGTGCATCCAAATCACCTGGAGGCTTGTGAAGATGTGAATCCCCCAGGGCACACTGTCTGAGGTTCTGATCCAGCAGGTCTGGCCAGGGTCTGGGAATCTGTATTTTTAACAAGCTCCTTGTGTTCAGACTCCTGGAGGTCCCTGTGGTCCTTGCTGTACCCGCTAACCCTCTCAGGGGTTTACTGCCAGCAGCCAACCTCTCCTTTACAATGAGGTGTCTGTGCAGAGACACCTGCCTCTCTGGGTACTGCTGGCTGTGAACACAGCTGGGACCAGAGTCCGAGTGCATTCTGCAGATTTTCCCGAAGTCTTAGGCCAGCCAGGAGCAGCCAGGACAGGAGACCCAGCCCTGTCTTACTGCTCGGAAGCCACTGGCAAAGCTATCGTGGAGGGTTTTAAAAATGTCCATACTCTCCCTCCCACCACTCGCTTCCTCTTGCTTGCTCATCCCCACCCAGACTTCCAACTCTCTGAAACCCCGGACTCACTCAGTGCCCTGCGGGCTGGACGGGTCTGACCAGGCGACCATGGGAGACTCAGCTGGCGACAGTGCCTTGAGCTCTTCAGCCTCATCATCCTGGGAGGGCGGCCCCTTCCTGCAAGGACACGGAAATGGAAGGGGCCTTCGGCAAGGGCAGGGGTCACAGGGGGAAGTGACCGACTTTGACCCCTGCAGATCACCCAGAGCTCAACCCTGGGAATGGAATGGGGAGGAGGTGGTTGGTGCTGCCAAAGTGTTCCCACTTGCCTGCAGGGAGACAAAAAGGGAGAAGAGAGGGGAGCAGCCACTCTCTGGACCTCAGTCCCTGCATCTGTTCAATGGCCTAGTGTAAAAGTAACAACACTGACTTGGTATCAGGCAAACCCGAGCTTGCCTCCCAGTCCTGCCTCCTACCAGCAAGTTACTTAAACTCTCTGACATCTCTGACATCTCTGACATCAGCAAGTTACTTAAACTCTCTGAACCACCTCAGTCTCCTCCTCTGTAAAATGGGACTAGATCTACCCAACTCAATGAGATACTTAGCACTCAGTGGGGCCTCAGCTTAAATGTTCTTCTGCCCTCCCATTCCATTCGACAGTCACAGTGTCCCCAGCACATCCCCGGTGTTCTCTCTCACACCACCCTTTCAGCTGCCAGAGAAGGCCTTAACTCTCCTGGAAGCCCCACCTCCCTCCCCTCACAGCTGGGCCACCAGCCAGAACAGTAAACATCCATGGTCCATGGGGTCTGGTCTCCAGCCCATGGAGTGACCTGGAGCGAGCCCCAGGCTCCAGGCTCCCTGTCTGAGGAAGGAAGACTAAATCATCCCCGGGCCCCCCGTCATTCAGTCCAAGTCTGCCACAGGGCACTGCATTTGGAGCCATTGGAGTCCCGGCTGATGGTGTCTGGGTTTGAATCTACCTGTCATTCTTCCCATCCTCAACCACCGCAACTCAGATTCCAGAGGCTTCTAGAGGGATACGGATGGAGGGGTGTGCAGTACTTGCCTTTATTTCAGAAGGCTCTGAAACTATCCCATTACCTTCTGCCAGCTCACCGAGGATGACAACACTCATGGATTTACCTCTTTCACACTCTAATTAAAATTCACACCCGATAAGACAAAGGCCAGAATTTGCACAGGTGGGACCCAAATTCAGTTCTCCTGTGCCCGGGAGAGCACATGCTGCACAAGACCCCAGAGTGTGGATCTCAGGCTCCCCCAGTCCTGCCTTGTGCACAGCACCTGGCATGAGTCAGCTTATTGAATTCTTCCAGCAATCTAGTAGACAGGTGGTATGCCTATCCTCACCTTATAGTAGGAACATGGAGAACTAGGAATGTTACATGGCTTGCCTTAAGCCTCACATCGGTAAGTGGTGAGCTGGGACTCACCCCAAACCAAGACTAAGCTGTGTGGCAGGGCCTTGCCTGTGCGCCCCTCCGGCAGGGTCTGTGGTTTCCATGGCTTTTTGGTGCCTGTTGGTTGCACAATGCTCATTCCACCCTTGACCAGGGGCAGCCCCACTGGCCTCTCAAGTCAGGTATCAGAATTCTCCCCTCTCGGGGCCAACTCAGGCAGAGACTCCCCTGGTTTCTCGCAGTCATATTCAACTTAGTGCTCTCTGGATCTTGTTTGTTTATTCAATTCCCTGTTAATTGTCTATCTCAGCCCCAGCAGAATGTCAGCTCCATGATAGCAGACCCCTGTCAGGCTTCTCCTTGATGCATCCCCAAAACCCAGAACAGAGTCTGACGCATAAAGATGTTCAGTAAATGTTTGTGAATGAATGAGTGAGTGAGTGAGTGAGTGAATGATAGGGATAAGAGGAGCTTCACAGGCCCAGCTCATAAACAGAAGGCAGGGGGCTTAGATTCTATCCCCAAGTGAGCCTAGTCCCCTCTCTGTTCCCAGGTATCCAACCCCCAATCCAGCCTGTATAAAGGGAACAGAGGGAGGTAGACCAGATGTCTGCAACAATGTTGGCTCTATTTCTTCTGCTATCTGTGTTCTGCACGTGGCTCAATGAATGAAACATGAGGATTGATGGGATGGTGAGCTGTGTTCCAAGGCGTTATGAGATCGTGACTCTTTTCTTTACATTAAAATCAGAGAGCCCTCAATTGGTCACATCTAGCCATCTTTCTTATGGCAGGTTTTTTACCTTAGCTGAGAAATTTACTCAAGAACCCACGGGTGAGAGCAAGATTAACCAAGAAAAAGGAACTGTCTCCCAATCCAACCACTGCAGGAGAAGCACGGGCAGCCCCCCTGTAGCTTAAATGCAGTTGTTCACAAAGCACTGTACTGCACTTCACAGTTTGCCTACAGCTGAATGCAAGACCTCTCTCAGTTACCTGGCTCAGGTTGTTCAAAACCAACTCTAATCATGCAACAAATTTCTATCAAGAAGCATAAAGACGTGCGCAACCTTGACCAGGATTCCCACTTTTGAGAAAGGAGCCCCAGGACACAGAGAAGAAGCCCACATAGATGTTAAGAGCCCCATATGGGCAGTACCTAACAAGAGGTATTTGTTAAGTCTGTTCTGGCACAAGGAGCAGGAGGAATGTCACATAGTAACCATAAATGAGTGCTAGGGAGACAGCCTAACACTACGGAAAAGGGGTTACTAAATGAGACGTGGTCTCAAATGAGATGTGATCCAAATCACCCCTTCAGATGAAACCACGCAAAAGCACAGGCCCACAAACAAGATATGGAAGAGAAGGAAGCAAAATGAAATCACCTTCTAGTGCAGTCGTACTATGGATGCTTGTTTTTCTAGCGTGTTTTGGTATCTCCATTCCATTATTTTGATACTAAAACGAGGGGGTGGAAATTAGCCTTGTTACATTAATTACCCCCTCTAACTTACAGTTGAGGGTACTGGGGAGAGGACTTCCTTGGAGAACTCTTTATAGAGTCCGAAGCCAGGGATTAGGACCCAGAAGTGGGGCCATAGTCCTAGTTCTGACACCAACTCGCTGAGTGACTTTGTGCCCGCTGCTTTCCCACTCTGGCCTCAGTCTCCCCATCTGCCAAATGGACAGATGGCACAGTGCAGTGAAAAGCCCAAGCGAAGCATAAAAGGTGACCTTTGGGTCCCTGCGGCAGATCCCGGGACCGTAAGGGTGTCCGATTTGGCAGGAGAAGGTGGCGGCAGCTCGGGTGAGGGAGGGTTCTCCAAGATGACGGGGTGGCCGTCAGCATCGGCATCTTCCACCTGCACTTCCGGGTGCTCTTCTGTAGCAGGCACTTGGAGAGAAGAAGGAGAAGACAGTCAGAGAGAGAGAGAGAGCCAGGTCCCAAGGGCCTTACTGTGTTCTTGAATAAAGGCACAGAAAGCATGTTTGGAGGGGCCTCTGGCAGCCTCACCTCCCAACAGGGCCCACAGGAGAGCTCCATGCAGGGGGTCCAAGAATGCAGAGCCCAGGGGCCTCTGAGGGCCTTGGCCACCCCAAACACCAGCCCAGCAGCTGCAAAAGAAACCAGGACACCATAGAAGCCACAGAAGCTCTTGAGCGCTGCCTGGAGTCCAGCTCTCCAAAGCTCAGACTGCTTAGAAAGCATCGAGGACCTGGGGTTTGGTGGGGAGGTTGGGGGGCGGGGAGTTGGGTGGCAGCACCCAGAGAGGGCATGGGGAGGCCAGGAGAGCCCAAGTCCCAGGGCCTGGCCTAGCACAGCCTCAGCTGCTTCCCCTCTCTGGGCTTCAGCTTCCCCATCCCAAGGTAGGGGTGATAAAGACACATGGCCTCACACTCTTGAAGGGCCTCAAATGGAGATGTTTGGAAATTCCTTACAATCAAGGATAACAGTTTGTCCTTATAGTGTATGCTACCCCTGTTTGGAAATCCGTTTTGGTATTTCCTTGTTTCTGTACAGGCCAGGAGCCCCTGAAATTCAGCACCCCAACCCCTCTCCTGACTCTGAGAGGCCTCGTGCCATGTCTCACATCCCCAGAACCGGTCCTCCCTGTCCAGTCTGGGTGTGGCCCTACCTCAGGCTTCATCACCCACCCGGAGACTGTGAGGACAGGTCTACCTGAGGTGAAGCCCAGAGGATGCTGAGGGGCTGAGATGGTGTGCCCTTTCCCCACCACCCCTGGGTCGGACCACTCAATAGCAGCCCTAGAAGCCTGGGCACCAGCAAGGCAGGTGCATACCACCCAAAGTGGAGAGAGGTTGCATGTTGAAATGCTTGGATGACTTTCTTTTTAAATGGCCACCATGGGAAAAGCCAGCACTTGTGGAATTTGGCAGACAGAACCTATTCTTTCTTTTTTAATGTTTATTCATTTTTGAGAGAGAGAAAGAGTGCATGCATGAGCAGGGGAGGGGCAGAGAGAGAGGGGGACCGAGGATACAAAGCAGGTTTGTGCTGACAGCAGTGAGCCCGATGCAGGGCTCAAACTCACGAATGATGAGATCATGAGCCAAAGTCAGATGCTCAACCAACTGAGCCACCCAGGTGCCCTGGCGGAGGGGACCTAAGCAAAGACAGTTGGCACTTGTTCCACTAAAGCCTTAAATGAAGCCCTCAGAGGAAGAGGATGAGCCAGAATGAAGAAGTTTTTAAAAACTCAAGGAAGAAGTTTTGCCAGACTAACAAGAGATACTCCAGGCTATGGAAAGCAGGAGAGAGGAGAGGCCTGCAGCTGTCTTCCCACTGAGCTCCTGAGAGGGTGAGCTGGGGTTGGGGCAGAGTATGGGGGGCAGCCAGGACCAGGGAAGTCTGTCAGGGATGATGAGGGTCCCAGATTGCCCCCAGCATGGCACCTGGGCCGCAGAAAGTGCCCTGGCCTGGGCATCCGCAACACTGTCTCAGGGAGCATGGGAGGCCCAGAGCTCCCTGCCTCACCCTGAGAAGGATTCTGCACCCTCAGTGGGCCCTGGGAAAGGAGGGGAAACCCCTAACGTTAGTGTTTCATTTTTATAAATATATATTTGTTAAATAGAAAGAATGTTAGTGGGTGGCTAGTCAAGCGAGCCGCTCCGACTTCAGCCAGGTCCGATCTCGCATGTCCGTGATTCAGCTCTGCCAATGGCTCCTGGGCCTGTGCAGCCTGGAGCCTGTTTCGATGTCGTCCCTCTCCTCTGCCCCCTCCCCTCCTTCATGCTCTGCTCTCTCTGTCCAAAAAAATAAACGGCGTTGGAAAAAAAAAAAAAAAAATCTTTAAAAAAAAAAAATAAAAAAAAAAATAAATAAAAATAGAAAGAATAATATGGTATGATTAAATTGGTGTAGAGAAGAGTAATATTTACTATGAAGCTCTTCCTATGTGCCTGCCAGGCATTTGTTCTAGTAAACTCTTAGTGTTTATATATGTATATATATACATATATACATATATATATGTAAGTTTCTTTATTTATTTTGAGAAAGAGAGAGAGAGAGCACAAGTATGGGAGGAACAGAGAGAGGTGGGGAGAGAGAGAATCCCAAGCAGGCTCCACACTGTCAGCACAGGGCCTGATGCAGGGCTCAAACCCACGAACCGTGAAATCATGACCTGAGCCAAAATCAAGAGTCGGATGCTTAACCCACTGAGCCACCCAGGTGCCCCACTGCTTTATATACATTAATTCTTTTCTCCTTCCTGGCCATTCTGGGAGGCCCTTGTGATCACCATCCCCACTTTGTGGATATACCGAAGCACAGAGAGGTTAAGAAACCCGCTGCCAAGCCAGGATTTGGACCCAGGCAGCCTGGCTCTAGCTCTTAGACTCTTACTTCCTCCTGAGGTCGGTGACCAGCACACACATACAGGCCTCTGTTTAAACAAAACCCCACCCCGTGCCAAGCAGCATCATTGAGATGGGAATAATGTTCTTGCTACACCCTGCCATGTCTTGTCTGCAGCATCTAAAATCATCGCAGGTCTCACCACAGCTGGATCAGTCCACTGTTCCAACGTGTCAGGGGGGACTATTTCCCCAAGTTTGGGGCTCCCAGGTACCAGGGAGGACACAAGATGACTTGGGATGGCACAGACGAGGCAGAGGAAATGGAGAATGAAGACATCCCTCCCATTTCAATTCTCTCGAGATCCTGAATGCACAGAGAGGAAGTCTCAGATTGGGGCTCCCATGGCCTTAACCCCTCTCTGACACATCCTAACTCCCGTCTGCGGCAAAGAGAGTGGGCCTCAGCTGTGAGCCCTCAGCCCACAGATCTATCGACTACAACTATCAACACGACTCTGTTTTCAGGTCACTCGTGGTTATTTCTATTTACACCTTCTATTGATGGCAAGCAGTGCTGGTTTCCCGTTAGAATAGTAATGTAAAGGTTCCTGATTAAATAGACTTAATTAAATTTTTAAAAAATGAATCCACTGCAAGAAAATTAGCAAGCCAATAAAAGTAGAATTGGCACAGAATATAGCAAACATTGAGAAGGGATCCGTCGGGGGTGGGGGAAAGATGGGGGATGGTTTGGAGTGAGTAGATGTCGGTCTTTCCTGGGGGGTGTCATCCCTGGCGGTGGGGATGGTCTGCGTGCCACCTCACCTCCACTCTCTGTCCATCACAAGCCAGGAAGAGAGAGGGACCGTGGTGGATCTAGTCTCATGAAATGTCCAGTTCTACCTGTCTACTGACCTCATAGGTGCCCTTGCACAGTATCATCCAAAAATAAACAAATGAAAAGGGAAAGTGGGCAGGTCTGGCTTGAGTTAAGGCAGAAAGTGACAGGGGTTGGTCCAGAGGCGCCAGGACGTCCCTGAGTACTCTGTCATCAGGAAGCAAGCCACAGGAGCCCAGCCCAAAGGCCATTGCAGGAACCTCATCACAATTAAACAGATCCAGACAGGCCCTCCTTCTTTGCTGGCCCCTAAGGATGCCTCTCCTCCCAGTCTGCCTGCAGACACCTGGGGGCCTCTCCTTTCCTGAAATGGAATTTGCTAGGCAGATATCAACAACCCTCAGAAAGTCCAGCTCCCAGAAAATCCTCAAGCTCAGTAGAATTCTGTCTGAAATGGGCCCCCACATTCCTTTTATGCCCCATCCCCCTCAATTTATTCTCTTCCTCCACTCAGGTCTCCTGGCCTAGAGATCTTAATAAGTTGTTTAAACTAGGCTGTGATTGACTACCTGTAAAAAAATATATATATATATATATGATGATCTACAGAATGCAAAGTTTAACCCAAAGAAATGAATTGCTAATTGCGGGATTTTAGGCACAGAGATAAGGGGACTAAATACCCCTCAGTCACCACAAAGCAAGATGAAGGCAATGATCAACAGGAAAAGAGGGTGGTTTTCCATGAATTCAACTGGTAGTCCCACACCTTGATCGTGGCACCCATGCAGGAAACAGCCCAAGCCATGCGGAAGCACACATCACGGGCACAAGCATGCCGGCTGCACGAGATCACGCTACCTAGGCGACGGATGGATCTCCTGGTCTCCTTGGCGAAGCTGGAGTTGGACAAGGCCGTCCTCCGGGTGATGAGGACAGGGATGCGGGTGACTGAGGGGCGGTAGCTGGGCACATTGGGGAGGTGCTCTGCCAGGGTAGGGGGAGAAAGCCCTGGGGCCATCTGACCAGGTGGCTGGTCCTGGACCAGAAGATTCAGCTCCACATCCTGCCTTGGTTTAGCCATGGTGCTGGGGCCAGAGGGGCTTAGGCAGATGTGGGACCCCGGGCACTGCAACAACGAACACAGGGTCAGAGAAGGCATGTAGGTAGGCTCCTACCCTCCAGTGCCAACTCACACCAGCCCGGTGCCCGCCTGCACTTGTAGCAGCTACACCAAAAGCCTAGAACATCATTCGTGTCCCTGGACCCAACGTCGAAAACATCATCAAGTCATGTGGCTGGTCTATGTGACAGTTCTAAGGGACAGTGCCGAGCCCCCCCCCCCCCAACTTCTTATCTCTCTCTGTTAACCAACCACCAGTAGCGTTTCCCACCTCAGACAGAAAAAGTTAAAATCAAAGAATCCAGACCTCCTGGACTGGCCAAACATTCTTGGCCCAGTAGGATTTTCCATCCCAAAGAAACTCTGGAGCTCAACGAATTTCACTTCCAACCAGAAGCAGGAACTTCTCCTGGGCCTCACATTGGAATCACTTGGGGACATTTGGAAATGTCTGATTTTTAAAATCTCTCCAAATGATTTTGATGTGCAGACATGTTTGAGAATCAGGGCTCAAGGCTATTGCCTCTCAAACACTGATGTGCAAACAAACCACCAGGGATCTTGTTATAACACAGATTCTGGTTCAGCAGGTCTGGGGTGAAGCCTGGGATTCTGTATTTCTAACCAGCTCCCTCGTGACTCCAAAGCTGCCGGTTCCAGGTCCACACTTATGAGTAGCGGCAGACAGATGGCCATGCCTCAGTGTTTCTCAGAGTGTGGTTCCCAGGCCACCTGCTTCCAGATGACCGGGGGGAGGGGGCGGAATAAGCCCCACAGAACCTGAGTCTGCACCTGGGTGACCCTGGTCTTATTCATCCACGTGGGCTGCAGACTTAGTAGGTTTCCTACGGATTATGTGTTGAAGTTAATAGAAGAAGTTTTTCAAAGACCAGGTGGGGAGCAAGTTTGGGACACCTGCGTCCAGTCCCATGTCAGTCACTGGCTGCCTGGGACACAAGCATCATGGTCCCCGTTACGGCCACCTGCTTCAGTGCCAGCCACGGTGTTGGGGACCTTTGACACACTGTCCACCCTACTCTGCCCAAATGCCCTGTGAGGTGGGTACTATTATTGCCCTGTCTTTCTTGATTTGGAGCCACAATTAAGAGAGGTCACACACCTGGCTCCGTGTCACACAGCAAGGAAGAGGGAGGAGCCAAGAGTGAAACGCAGGTCTGAGTGGTCCCTCAGCCACGTCCTGAGCACTTGGAGCCTCAGTTTTCTCATCTGTAAAATGGTCTGTCTACCTCACAGGCTGGCTTAAGAAACACGGAGCCTTATGAGGCCAGGGCTGCATGTCCGTCTGCCCTAGGCTCCCCAGCCTGGCTATCCTCGGGTCCTCTACACTCTGCCCCACCCTCCCTGGAGTTCTCGGGCTTGGGGGTGGGGATGGTAAATAATAGCAAAGTGCTGGGTACAGCCTGGGAATCTTAGCAGGAAAGAAAAGCTCATCAAGACACGTGGAGTCTAGGATGGACCCTTAGCAAGCCTGGGTCCCGATTCCCACTCAGACATGCTCCGTTGCTGCCAAACCCTCTTTAGATGGCAGTTCAGAGAGCTGCATTCCCAGCGAGGGGTGGCAGGAGGGCTTGACTAGGAGCGGGGTTTCCGCAGGCCTCCGGGAGTCCTGGGAGCCTCCGGCAACGCTCTTGGGCCTTTGGAGTACATCACCAAATTCTGCTAATGCGGCCTGAGGTGAGACAGGTGTAGGGATGGAGGGAGAAGGGATGGGTGCCCTTGGCCAGGCTGTCCCCAGCCTGAAAGTATCCTCAACATTCTGTGCGCCCCACCCCCACCATACACCTACCTTCTGGGCTGGCAGCCACGGCCTCCTCCTGTGGCTCCTGCAAACAGGGAAGTGGAAACAGAAGCTGTGACCATCAACCTTCCTCCCGGCCCTCCCAGACCCTGTTGGGAGATCTGTATTCAACAGTCTTCATGGGCCCCGATTCCCCTCCTTGCCCGGCCTGACCCATCAGGCCCTGCCACCCCACCTTCTGGGGCATCCCGGGAGGTGGCCTCTACTGTGTGGAGAGTAGGGCGTACAGGAGCCCTGGGCCCCAACACCTGGATCGGTGACTTATAACAGGGGGCCTTCTCACGCAGCCCTGTGCAGGTGGGGCCCAAACAACTAAAGCAGCCACCAACAGCACTCCCCACCTGGGTACTGCACTCCACAGTATACAACTGTGTGCGACACCCCGGGGAGGGGATGTTAACCCCATTTTACAAAGGTGGCCATTGAGTCCCAGAGTGGGGAGGTGACTTGTCCAGGGTCACACAACCATGTGAGGACTTCGGTGTTCAGGTCCAGCTGCTCCCCACCCACGGGCCTGTCACCCCAGGCCCTTCCTGATACCACTGACCTCCGGCATAAGCAAGGCCTTCCGTACCCACCACCCTGCTCCCCGGTCCAGCGGGCACCTCGCCAGCTGAAACTCCGCCTGTAAACAAAGTAGACAAAGCCCCAGCCCCTTCTGCTGATGCCCACCCAGGCTTCAGAAGTAGTTGGGTACCCGGCCTGGTGTGGCTCCATACCTGGTGGGCGGCCTCCTGGGGCTGGGTCCTGCCTACTCCGCTCGGGTGCTCGCCAGCCTGTGCCACCAGACAGCTATCCAGCAGGACACTGCGACCGAGGGGGAGGAAAGGGCTAGCGTTAGGAGTGTTAGACATTTCCTGAGCCCTGCTGAGAGCCAGGCCCTGTGTTGGGAGCTGGTACACAAAGATGTCCAAGAATAGGTCCTCACCCTCATGAGGCTCCCCACACGGGACAGGCTGAACACAGTTCTGCCTAGGAAGGAGGCCTGCCTGGAGGAGGTAGCCTCTGAGCTGGACCTCAGGGATGATGAGTTGACCATGAGGAATAGGGAAGGGGGTCCAGGAAGGGGGAATAGCACGTACAAGGAAAAGCAGGGTGGATGGTTTGAGAAACTGTCCTCTGGGTGGGTGTGACCAAAGGGCACAAAGGCATTTCCCCTCTGTGAGTCTCCAGAAAACTTTGGTGATGCAGGCAGGGCAGGGAGTATGAGAAAAGTGAGGCCCAGAGAGGTAATGTGACCCGGCCAAAATCACACTGCAGATTGTCTTATACCACACAAACCTCAAATGCGGGCCCTGGTTCTTTCCATGCCATGAGATCAGAGCCACACTACCGCTGCTGAAGGTTTCAGGGGTCCCTGGCCCAGTCTCCAGGTGTACATGGGTGACAGGGGCCAGGGGATGCAGAGAGGGCTATGGTTAGAGAATCTGTGCTCATCTGAGTCAGCAACCCCACTTGGCTTAGAAAAATCTTCTGATTTTCAAGAGGAGCCTGAACTACATGTTTGTTTTTTTTTTTAATTTTTTTTTTTTCAACGTTTATTTATTTCTGGGACAGAGAGAGACAGAGCATGAACGGGGGAGGGGCAGAGAGAGAGGGAGACACAGAATCGGAAACAGGCTCCAGGCTCTGAGCCATCAGCCCAGAGCCCGACGCGGGGCTCGAACTCCCGGACCGCAAGATCGTGACCTGGCTGAAGTCGGACGCTTAACCGACTGCGCCACCCAGGCGCCCCTGAACTACATGTTTTAAAGGTAGAATCTCCAATCTTCAAGTGCTGATAATTAATCCAAATTAATACATTCATAGCAATATATAGATAAAAGAGCTTGTCTACAAGCGAAACTGGACCCTTAGATGCCTGTGTGCAGCCTCTGGGTTAAAATGGTGACTCAGAACCAGGAGCCAATGTGACTTTTGTAGTTAGAATTGGATCCTGGTTCCTAGTGGCCCACCCTACCCAACCTCTGTCAGCGAGGGCTCACAGAGGGTGTTCTCTCTGGCATCCAGAAAACCTGGATTCACTACTTTCTCCCCAGAGGGCCAAGCCTCAGGCCTCCTGAAGTGGGTGAGGAGGTGGGGACAGAACTGCAGCCCCAGTTGGTTTGGAGACTGCAGCAGGAATCAGTCAGCAATCACATTGTCACAGCAGCCCCCATGGGCTGTCGCTCCCCATATCCTCACCCAAACAACACTGAGAGGCCGGGGCTGTGACTGGTCCTAGCTTAGCAATCAAAGGCACAGAGAGGACAGATGGCCTGTCCACGGTCACACAGCTGGCACAAGGCAAGCCTGGATAAAACAAGTGTCTCTGACCCTCAAGGCCATGTCCGTAATACTTGGTTGCCTGCCTCTGCTCCATGTGACACGGAGGAATAAGTCCAGGGTCCTGAGATCTGAGCACCCAACTCACTTCATTTCCCTTCATTACATAGCTCTTTCCATCAAAAGGGGCCTCAACTGTCAGGATCATACTACCCACTCTGCCCAGGAAGAAACAGATTTTCTTAAAGAGATTTGAGTCACAAAAGCAAGGCACATGATGACTTTCATGGGGTCTGGGCACTTTAAGGTTTTGTGGGCTCCTTCCTCCTTAAAGGTAAAATAAAAATTATATTCTGTGACTGCATTTATATGAAGATTCATATGTTCAAACATTCTCTTCCATTGAAAAGTTCATTTTGGTGTCTGATTTTTTAAAAAATTAAAATGCGCTTGAAGGTCCCTAAAAGTATGGTGGGAACTATGCCCTTCCCAGTTCTTGGAACACAGAGGCCCGGGAAATGAACTACCACAGTCCAGTGAGGTCTTGCTCATTCCAGAATCAGGCCAGGAAATCACTGTAGGGCCTTTAATACATCACTGGGAAGCCCTTGGGCTGCCTCTGTTTGCTTATCTGTCAAATAGGGAGGAATTGCCCAGGCTGCACGGCCTGACAGATTTAAGCGAGGTCAGGAGGGCCAGTGAGAGTCTCATGAAAGTCAGAAAAGACTTCCCATATCTGGTGTTGTTCCTGGTCCTCCATCTATCAACACCAACGAGCAATTCCCTTCGTTTGGGCCACCAAGTGTTTGTTTCGGTACCAACTCTGCCCTTGCCGGCAGTGCACCCCTGGACATACAGGGTACTGTCTGCGAGCCCCAGTTCTCCCATCTGTGAAATGGGATTAATAATAGGTGCCCAGACTCTGGCATAGCAAACAAGTGTTACTCAAATGGCAGCTGCTGTCATGATTGTTCTTGCCATGACTGCTACTAACACTAGAGAAGGGAGCGTCCTGCAGGGTTATGAATCACCCACGTGGATTAGGGAGCATCTTGTACAAACATCTCCAGCTATCAAGATACCTAATGAGCCCTACTGTGGCCCTGTCAGGACTACCAGAGGTTGTTTGGGAGCTATGTACCCAAAGCCATGTTGTTCCCGGTCGGCGATGTGCCCAAGGCCCCCTCTTGCCCATCCCAGAAGCAGCAGGCCATCAACTTCTAGAAACTTCCTAAATCCCAGAGATTTCCAAGTGGAGGATCACACAGACTCGCTGAGGTGGGCATCCCGGAGAACCTCCCCACCCAGTTATCCAAGTTAAAAGTGCAGGGAGTAGCTAAGAGTTGCCCATCCTGCTCCTCCTCCCCCAAGTCCCCCAGCAGGCTGTGCCCCTAAGCTAAGGTCCTCACCAGGCACCCCCACCCTGAAAGAAAGAAGGGGAGCCCTTAGGACAAAGCAGCCACCTACTTGGGTCTCGCTGTCTTGGCTGATAAGAATGCCCATGACGCAGGAGTTCAGCTGGGGGCGATGGTATTCATCCCAAGCCCCATGTCGGGTGCCCACAGGTAGACAATTTGGAGAGCCCCGGTCCAGCCCCCGAGCCTGCCAGGCCAGCTCTGGAGCCAGTGTGGCTCAGGTAGCAGATGAGCTACTGATCCTTCCTGCTTCTAATCAGATTGAGGGAGTGTGCAGGCGGTGGGGAACTCTGCAGAAATGCCCCCAGGGAGGGCAGGTGGGGACCAAAAGGCTGTGGTTGCTAGGAAAAGCCGAGCTGTTGCCGGCAGAGACCAGGTCGCTAGGCGACCATCTGCCTGTTACCAGGGCCCGCGCGCACGTCATCAGTAACCCCTGTGCCTCTGCAAAGCTGGCCAAGAGCATCCTTCCCCAGTCAGTGACAGCTCAGTCCACTTGCCCACGCCTGACACCCTCTGGTCCTGGCCCTGGGAACACTCAGCTCTCTCACCCAGTGCCCGCGTCCCTGCCTAGGGCCCCGGAGCCCAAAAGTCCCCTGAGTTTGAAACTCTGGGTAAACATCTGTATGAATATGTATGTGTGTGCGGCACTTGTGGGTAACTGTACACGTGTGTTTGTGTGCATGAGCGTGCACACAGGGCACAGCGTGCCTATGTGCAAGCATGTACCAATGTGCCTGTGCATGTGGACACGTGAACAAGTGTGCTGAATGTGCTTGTGCATGTATGCAGGCTGTGTGTGGGTATGACTGTGTGCATACCCGCACGTATAAGTGTGTGCCCAGCCCAGCCCGTGTGTCTGTGTCCGTGTAGGTGTGTATGTGCAGATACGTGTGCATGTACCTGCATGTACCGTGCACTGAGAACATGCATGTAGTTAGTGCATGTGTGCGAGCACACTAAATCACTGGTGTTCGGGGGGTATTTCAGTTCAGGAGCAGTGGCATATAAAGGGGTTTTCAGGCCTCCGTGTTGGGCACACAGGTTTAGTCGGGGGACAACTCGCCACCATGAGCACTAACAAACCAGCACTAACAAAGCTAGGCAGCACCTAAGTCTTCACCCAGGAGACGGGCTATCGCAGGTCAGTGAGAGCAGCCTGGCTCTGGGGGGCCCAGAGGGCAGAATGTGGACCACATTACAGAAACCATAGGGAGGCACGTTTATTTTTGGTGGAAGAAATCATCTCATAATCAGAGGTGTATATGGATGGAATGGACAGCCTTCAAGAGGTCATGAGTTCCCCATCACTGGAGGCAAACAAGTAGCCATGTGGTCTCCTGCCAAGGATGAAAAAATTCCATGTGAACAAGGGATAGGTGGACTAAAAGCAGATGACACGGAGCAGACCTCCAGCCCTAAAGTCCTGTGTTGTCTCGTGGTATAACTATTTCCCGACTGGGACTGAAAGTAACCCTCCGCGGGGATGAGAACATCAATGACCTTTGATGACGCGCTCACTGCGACCAAGGTCCTAATATGCCCCATACACAGCTGGCCCGTGACCGCTTCACAGAGGTGTTAGAATCCCCGTTCCACAGACACGGAGGCAGAAGCTCTGTGCAGTGTGCACTTGCCCAGGTCACTCTGCCAGGAGAAGCAGAGCCCGTGCCTCAGGCCTGGGCCGGAGGGACAAGTCAGCGAAGAAGGGTGTGGGCCAGGGGGCACCACAGAGAGCGGAGCAACAGGGACAGGGAATAATGCAAGGCACAGATGCAATCAGTCTGGCCTGCCCCCTGATGACAGCCTCCTCACGGCTCTCCCTGCCTCAGTCTCCCCACAGTGCAGCTGCCAGATCACGTCTGGATTTCCCCGCTCAGCAACCTTCAATGGCTCCCCATTGCTCCTGAGAAAGCAAGTCCCAGGTCTTCACAATCTGGCCCCCAGCCTCTGAAGCATCATCTCCCCACCATGTCCACCAGCTGCAGTGTCACTGTCCCCCCGACATGCGGGCTGCTTTTGAGGCAGCAAACCACTCCCCCCTGTTCGAAACCCCCAGGACACTCTTCTTGTCCCCCACTCTCTTCATTGGTACCCCCTCCTCCTCACGGGCACTTCCTCCCCAGGCGCTTCTGTTTCCTCGAATCTCCCTGGCTCTGCTCTGGCCTTTGGGCCTCTCCTCTGTCCACACTGGCTCCCCCAGCATCTCCTCCAGCCCCGCGGTTTCCGGTTCCGTCCACATGACCAGACTCCCGACGTTCCATCTCCAACCTCTCACCCCCGACTCCACGCTCAGGCCCAACTGCCTGCTTGCTGTTCATCTCCCCACGCACCCCCCTCCCCATCTGTCCCGCACTGCTGAACACCTTCCTCTCAGTCTTTAATTATTGAAATACGTTTGACATATAACATTGTGTGAACTTTAGGCATACAGCATGTCAGTTTGATGAATTTATATATTATGATATGATTGCCACTGTGCTAATTAGCACCTCTATCGTGTCACAGAATGATTGTCAGTGGTTTCAATAATTAAGATGTAGTTTGATGATTATAACTGTTAGTGGTTTCTGATCTCCTTTCTTTTGACTTCTCTGTGTGTTCCTGTTGAAATCTTTATGGATGTGGGTGGAGAATCAACCATTAATGGGCAGAAGAGCAGAATCCAGAACAGCCTTCAAAGGCACCCATGGGACCGTCATGGACGGTGTGGAGGGGGACACAGCCCTATGCCTTGGTTTGGTTAATTACAGGGGCTGTGAGCCTCCCGCATGGGCCCATTCACTCATCCATCCACGCGTTCAGCCGACATTTATTTGGCGCCTGCTGTAGCAGGCACTGTTGTAGGATCTAGGGACATGGGAGTGAGCACAACAACCCCCCCACCCCGAGGAGGCTGTGTTCTGGTGTGTGTGTGTGTGTGTGTGTGTATAAGCATCTGGGAGGGTGTTAAGGGGTGGGCAATATGAGTCTCGGGTCATTATGAGTGCTGGGGGGGACCCCCAGCTTCCCCAGCCTCCCTGGTCAGTACACAGCAGCACACAGCACAGAACAAAGGAAGGAGCTCCCCCACCCTGAAAGCCCCCCCGTCCCACACTGTAACCCCTCCCTGGGCCATCCCTTGTGGGGAGGCTGAGAACACACAAGTGCCTTACTTAGGTTCCTCCTCCTCCTCTTCTTCCTCTTCCTCTCCATCTTCCTCCTCATCTTCTCTCTCCTCTTGAATCTGGGGCAGCTCCCTGAGTTGAGGTCAGAAGCAGGAGGTGAGCCCACTTGCAGCCCCACCCCCAGTCCACCTCAGGTCCCATGACCCCTGAAACCAGACCCGAAAATCTCAACCAAGACTTGACCTGGGGAACCCCACTTGAGCAACCTCAGGCTCCCTCTAGCAGCAAGGCCTCTCCACGGCATGAGGGGCCTGGCCCAGCCTCCACCATCCTAGTGGCAACCCTGGGTCAGCCTCTGAGCCTCTCTGGGCCTCAGTTTCCCCACCTTTACGATGTATGTCATGGGCCTGAGGACCTGACAGCTTGAGGGGTTATCACCAAGATCGCTAGAGGGAACAAAGATCATTATGTCCCTACCGAGGGCAAGTGGGTAATCACTACCCTAGGTACCCATTCCCATGCCCAATGACCCTGCAACCCCCCTTCTACAAATTTATCCTGCAGGCCTATTCACGCGCATGTGCAAGAGTGTTTGTTGCAAAATTGTTTACAATAACAAAATTTTGCAATCACAAATGTATATAAATCCTGGCACATCCACACAATAGAATACTATGCGGTTGTTAAAAAACAATCTGTGGATGATCTCTATGCACTGAAGGTGGAAACACCTCAAGGTATATTGTTGAATGAATAGAGCAAGTTGCAGATACGTAGGTGCGTGTGATATGCTATCTTGTGTGGAAAAAAAAAAAAAAGAAAAAAGGAATCATGCCTGTAAATGCTCAGACGCTCCCTGGACCAGCACAGAAGAAACTGGCAGCTACTGTCTCTATTCACAGGGAGAGGACTGGATGTCTGGGGGACGGAGGAGGAGGAAGGAGTAGAGGCAGGTTTGGCTCCTGTTCTATGTCCTTTGATACCTTTGGGATTCTGTACCATGTGCCTGTTATCTTTCCAAACGATCATTTGTTCCAGGGCCTTCTCTGGTTCCCACCTGGGCATCTCCTCCATGGCCTCATTCTCCTCTTCATAAGCTGGAGCTGCCTCTGAGCCCTGCGGACTGGTGCCCCGGTCCTGATACTCGTCCTCCTCCCAGTGAGGGTCAACCTCTTCTAGGACGAGATCGGGCTCCTCTTGGCCTCCAGGGAGGATGCAGACTGCAGGGGACACAGGGCACAGGGGAGAGTGGGCTTGGGCTTCTGAGTCCCAGGGACCACACAGGGGGCCTTGGCCATCACCAGCCATGGGCCAGCTCTCAGCCAAGCAGCAGAAACAGCACCAGTATCCACAGGACCATTAGCAGCCAGATCAGTGCTAAAGTGACAGGCTGAAGCCCATGATCGTTCACCCTGTTTCCTTCTGGTCATTTTCCCCCTTTTTTTCCTTTTGAGATAGAGCTTCAATTACAGTTAGCTTTTGTGTCTCCTTAGGACCCCCGTTCTTGGAGGTTTGTGCAGAAGCAGAAATAACGCTTCTAACCACAGCATCATAGGAGATACGGAAGATCCAAGCTTGGGGTCTGCCTTGGCACATCCAGGTGCAAGGTGACCCGACATGTCCAGAGGAACACAGAGAGAGCTTGCCTCCTGCATGTTCTCTAGATGCCGCCCACTGGTGACAGCATACAAATGCTCATAACCTCAGCACCCATTTCTAGCAGTCCTTCCCTCCTGGGCCTAGAGGCTCCAGCTTCTGCGGGGATTGACCTTCTGGCAGAGATGGTCCCACCTTCAGATAGGATCTGTCATTTTCACCATTTCTCCACGTACTCAGGTCCCTGACAGTGCAAACAGTGTGGGGCTGTGAGCTCGGCGGAAGTGGGTGCAGGGGACTCCCATCAGGGACCTAAGTCCCCCGTAGTCAAGAGGAAGGGGAGAAGAGAGGAGATTGTCTAGATATCAGGTGTTCCCAAAAAGCTCCAGGATCTTGGTGATCCTTAAGCCAAGCATGAAATTATGAATAGTGACTTTAAATGGGAGTTGGTCTGAAGTCTTATCCTGTGACTTTGGAAAGTATTGCTCATGGTGTAGAAAAAATAATAATAATATAATGGCAGCTACATTTATCGAGCACTTATATGTTCCTAGCCCTGTGCTTAATGACATACATGGATTAACTCAATTAGTCCTCAAACCAACCTTTTGAGGTGGGAATAATTGTTACCCCCCCCCCATTTTATTTTCCTTCTTTCATGTTGTTTCCTCATTTACAGATGAGCAAACTGAGACACAGGCTCACAGCTTCTGTTACAAGGTGTGTCCCATGTGCCAGGCACAGGGATGTCCGCTTTCCAAGAGCTGTCTTCCCCTGCTCCTGCCTCCTGGTTCCCAGGTATAGACATTATCCTGCCTCACACAGAGGCACCCGCCTGCCCTCCAGGGAAATCCCCCACACGCATCCTGAACTAGGCTTTTCCACGCGGGTCCTGGCCCCTCCAGCCCTACAAACACCCCTGGGGTTTGACCGGGGAGGCTCATCCAAGCGTGGCCCCGAATCCAGTGGTGGGACATGTCACACGTGTCATTCTAGACTGCCATCCAGTAACAGTGTAGCATCTCTGCCCTGAGCAGCCACTTGGGGTACAAGTCCCTAAATGGCATACGGGAGACAGAACAAACATCCCCTGGCTCGTGAGTTCATTAGCTTTCACAGCAACCCTGCATGGTGACAGCATGGTGGCAATAGTACTCTCGCCATTTTATAAAGCACAGAGCCAGCTCAGAGAGGCTAATGACTTGCCCAATGCCACAAAGGATGTCAGAGGCATTGCCAGGTCTCCTGACTCCCGATTCCCTGGTGTGCTACCCCAGGTGAGAAACATGCCCCTGAGTGCCTCCTGGCATGGGTGGCCTCTCCGTGCTGGGCACTGCATGACCCCAGCCTTTGGTGTCCTGAAGAGTTGATGCCGTCTTTGTTTACATCCTCGCTTTCTTTTTAGATACTATTTAGTGAGGAAGAATTTTACAAGCTTTTCCTCCTTTCCTTTCTGGGCCAGGCCGCTGAGCCATGCCCTATACAATCCCCATTTTACAGCCAGAGATTCTACGGCTCTCAGAAGAGGCTGGTGGCCAGGGTACCAGAGGGGAAGGGCAGGCACGGGGTACTCGGCCACACAGATCCAGTGGCAGAGCTCCCTGCAGGCCTGGTGGAGCCCTGAGACCCTCTCGTTAGGCATCGGAGTCAGAGCTCCCTAGCTTTTTCAGGGCCCTGCCCCTGGGTCCAGATGGGGCCACTGAAGCACTGTGGGTGTTCAAGCTCATACGGAAACTCCTGCTCCATCTGGGGCTGAAACTTTGCTCCTGGAGTCCCTCATTGTCCCGCCACCTCCTGGCCAGCATTCTCTGCCAGCCTAGGATGTCCCTCAGGGCAACTGAATGGGGTTCTGGCTCCAGGAGTGAAGGTCATCAATTGCATCTGAGGAAGGAGCTCCTATTTCCAAGATCAGCAAACAGGGAGGCGGGAGGCATAAATTCTAGGTCAAGGCCCGCACCAGACCCTGGGTTGCCGGCAAAGCCCAAGTTCTGGCTTATCCTCCCTGGCATGCCTGGGTCCTAGATGCTTTGGATGTGGCCCAAAGCTCAAGAACCCTGATTCCATTGCTTTCTCTGCCTCCAATGCTTGCTCAGCCTCAGGGTAGTCTTTGTGAAGTCATTCCCCTGCTCAACCACCTTCAGTGGTTCCCCATTGTCTATAGCCTAGTCCTGTAAGATCAGGCCCTACCCTTTTTTTCCCAATATTTATTTATTTTGAGAGAGAGAGTACATGTATATGGGGGAGGAACAGAGAGAGAGACAGAGAGAGAAAGACAGAATCCCAAGCAGGCTCTGAGCTGTCAGCACAGAGCCTGACTTGGGGCTCAATCTCACAAACCATGAGAGCATGACCTGAGCTGAAACCAAGAGTTGGATGCTTAACCGACTGAGCCATCCAGGCATCCCAGGCCCCAGTTTTTCTGGCTTTAACTTCTGCATCAAAAACTCGGGATTTGCTGAGGTACCCAACACTCTCCCTCTCCCACCTCCAGCCATTTGCTCACTTTATTCCCTCTCCTGGGTTGTCCTCCCCTCACTGCCAACTGGGGACCTGAAGGGTCTCAAAGTCAAAGGCTTAGGTAGCCAGGGAGATGGTATTATAGGTGAAGGGGGGGCATGTGCTGCCTGCCCTCAGGAGTGTCCTCAGAAGCACAGCATGGGTCTATTATAATTGCTATAGAGAAGCCAGACTTATCCAATGCAAAGCCACCTTGTTTTTAGATGTTGGCAACTAATTCTAATATTTAAAATCACTCCTTGCCCCAAACACAGACATCTGTGGGCCAGCTGGGGATCAGGATCCCTGGCAAACTCCTCCTTCCTGCTACCCCAGTACCATGGGCCACATTAACTCAACCACTTTTCAAACCTAAGTACTCATTGTAGCTTCATCTGAAGCAAATATATCATGCAATCACAGCTGTGATGTGCTAATTTATGCTTTTTAATGTCACCGAAGTCATGTGCCGTTGTCCACTGCTGGACCCCAAACTCTTCGAGGGAGAGAACACAGCCTAGCCTAAGAGGATCCTCTTCTGGGAGAAACTGTGTCCCACCGGGGCACCGCCTGTGTGCCAGGCACCACGCTGAGGGCTGTGCAGGCGACCTCTCAAAGAGAGTCCTCCATGGGCTTCCCCACAGTCTTCTGGTGGGAAAATCTCCTGCTGTCTAGCCTGAGTCCCACAGGCTGCCCTTGGCTGCCCTTCTTGCTTCCATGGAAAGGCGCCAGCTTTGGTCTCAGAGAAGGAGCTGTGGGACTGGCTCCCTTCACCTAGCCTGGGAGTGTGGGGAGCGGCAGGGGGGTCACTGTTCAAGGAGGGCATGGGGTCAACAGCCACCTCTTCCCCCTCCCCTGCAGGTCTTCAGGGCACCCTTGTCTCCTTCCATCCATCCGTCCGTTTGTCCATCTGTGCTCTCCCAGGATCCCTTCTCTCTTGTTTCAGAGGCCCCCCGCTGCCGCCACTCCTGAAACAAGACAGAAGGGTGGGTGGCTGGGTGGGCAGGCGGAGGGAATGAATGAGCAGGTGCGTGAATGAATGAATGAAAGGGCAGGGAGGCAGGGGGTAGAGCTGGCAGCAGGAGAGGGAACTCCTGCCCCAGCCCCTTAGGGTCACCCCATAGAGTGGGTTGAATCGTGTCCCTCCGAAACATATATTCAGTCCTGATCCCTACAACCTGTGAATGTGACCTCATTTGGAAATAGGATCTTTGCAGATGTCATTAGTTAAGGATCTCAAGATGAGCTCATCGTGGATTTAGGGCGGGCCTTAAATCCATGACTGGTGTCTTTATAAGAGGAAGGAGAGAAGATCTGACAGACACGGAGGAAAAGGCAGAGATTGGAGGCCAGCTAGCAGCCAAGGGACCCGGAGGACTGCCAGCAGCCACCAGAAGCCAGGAGAGAGATATGGGATGGTTTCTCCCTAGAGCACCAGGAGGAGCCGACCCCCAGCACTTCAAGCTGGGGCTTCTGGACCCTGAACTGTGAGAGAACACATTTCTGCTGTTCAAAGGCACCCAGTTTGTGGTCCTTTGTTCTGTCAGAACCGGGGGAGCTAACACACTGGGCTCCTGGCCCCGCTGCCCCAGTGCCCACCCACAAGCCACACACTCCGGGTTCACGGGGAGGTCCTGTCCACAGCCAGATGAGCACCCTGCCTCCTCCAGAGGAGCAGAGAGGAGGAGGAGACAGGGCCAGGGGCTCCGTCTTCAGAGCTCTCCACTCTGGAAGCTGTGCTCCCGGAATTTTCTGTTCCTTTAACCTTGACAACTGCTGCCAGGCCCAGCGGATGTTAGTCGCCGCTCTGTGACAACTTGCTCTGTGACCTTGGGCAAATCCCTGTACCTCTGTCAGCCCCAACAGCCATGGGGGTCCCTGCTCTGCACAGACTCCACGAGGCTGAGCAAACCCTGCTCTGAAGCCTACCCCTTATAACGTTGTCACCATTATACAAATCCCATCTCCTCCCATGGCCACTCTGCCAGACTCTGCCAGACTCCGCTGCATGGTCAACTGGTCTGTCCGTGCTCCAGGCTATGGTGGCCATCCTCACCCTCAGGGTGCTCATAAAGACCACCATCAGCCTGGCAGAGTTAGGGTTTTCTAGCCTAGGACATGGGTCCTAGGGACCCCACCATGGTCTGAGGGCCTGTGTCCAGGGTGGAATAGGGCCACCACCCACTGGCCCTCAACTCTGCTTTGCTTACCTCTAGAACTTATCACAGGCCTGGTACATAGCAGGCCTTCCATGACCTTTATGAATGAATGAATGAATGAATGAATGAATGAATGAATGAATGCCTTGTACACCACACGCTTGTCCCGAGGCCATGAAATGGAGGAAGAACAGATTTTGGACCCTGGCCTTCTCCTCCTAGCCTCAGTCGATCCCTCAGTACTAGTGCAGGGCTGGGACAAAAGGCAGCACACACCTCTCCACCCTCCCCACCCATAGGTAAGGGGAACCCTCCTGCCTCACTGGAGCTGGAGTTTATGGGATCTAGTTCCTCCAGGGAGACCCCACGCCTCTCCCCTCATCCCTCCACCGGGACTCTGCCTAGCCAAACCCACTGGCCCAGGGGGAAGTGGGGAGCTCTCTTTAGGTGTTCCCAGAGGAAGGGGATCCATCCGACTCAGCCTCACAACTGTTTTCTCTGGGTAGAAACTGGAAGGCAAGCCAGGTCCCCACCACGTCTCTCCCCAGCCACCATGCGGCCCTGGGCCAGGCTCTGGCTACCTGGCCGGGCTGACCTGAGATGAGGCCTGCAGGACATGGGCTCTCTCAGCTCCAGGTCAGGAGGCCCCAAACGTAGCCCCCAAGTAAGTTCAGGCCTGGCCAGCAACCACCCCACTGTGCACTCAGACCAAGCAACCCTCCCGGAGACACACACGAGGACCCACTAAGGTGTCACTTACCGGTCTGCACGTCACACGCCACAGGGGAATCAGGTTCCTGCATGGGGAGAAAAATGCCGTGTCCTCCTCACCGGCCTCCCTGCTTCCACCACCCCTCCCGGCACACACAGGGGCAAGAGGGCTTTCCTCACCCCTATCAGGACTCCCGCAGAAGGTCCCGTGGCTCCCGGCTCCTCTCTGGTCTGCTTCCCCCCCTCCTTTCTCAGAGCTCGCCCAGTGCTCCAGGCACTGTCCTCCCTGGGTCACCACTTGGTCCCACCTCAGCTCCTTTGCCCAGGCTGGGCCCCCTGCCTGAGCGGCCTACCTTCCACTCTCCACTCTCCATGTAGGGAAAACCTCCTCCCAGCCCTCCCCGGAGGGTTGTGTCAAAGCTGCGTCTGCAGGAGAGGCCTCTCCCCAAAGCACCACACCTTCCCCTGCCCCAGCCCCGTACTCGAGGGGGCCCCTCCTTTCTGTGGGGGCATCTTCACCACAGAAGTTCCTGCCACCAGGCCCTTTTCATTCTCTTGGAAAACTCCAAAGCTGTGTTTCCTCAGCCACCCACAGAGGCCACATGGACACAGAGCCTGCAGGCTCGGCCTGCAGGGAAGGGGGCCCTGAGGATTTCTGCCCACCTCCTACCGAAGTCAGGACTGGGACCAGGCCTCTCGCCTCCCAGTTCCAGGTGACAATTGTCAGGTGGCTCAACCGGTTAAGCCATCTGACTCTTGATCTCTGCTCAGGTCATGATCTCACGGTTCATGGAATGGAGCCCCATGTTGGGCTCTGTGCTGACATCATGGAACCTGCTTGGGATTTTCTCTCTCCCTCTCCCTCTACCCCTCCCACACATGCGCTCTCTCTCTCTCTCTCTCTCTCAAAATAGATAAATAAACATTTAAAAAAACAAAAAACCAGTCAACAAATAAAGCTTAAAAAAAGATATACAGTTGTCCCCAAGAGAGAAGGACCAGGTGCCAGGTTCTTGGAGAGGGGGAAGAAGAGGTGACAGAGGACTTGCTCCCTCCACCCATCCGTGTTAGAGTCCTAGGTTCTCAGAAATGCACACAGGGCTCTCTGGCTTCCTATAAGCCCCAAGCCCCACTTCTTTCCAGGACATTCCTGGCCTCTCTTGTCTCTGGTCCTTTGCACCTGCTGATCCTCTGCCCAAAGGGCTCTTCCTACACCACCCCCATGCTACCTCTCCCTAGGTTTCAGCTTGCAAGCCACCTCCACCAGAAAGCCTTCCTTCGTGCTGGGGGGCAGTGGTGGGGGTCCTCCTCTGTACCCCACATCCTCTCTGCTCCCTCCATGGAAGCATCTCCCCCACTGATTATGGCCTCCTGGTTAGCACGCTGGGCCAGCACTTCTCAGCCCCGTGGCCGCAGCCCCTCAGGGAAAGTGTGTGGAATAAACGTGAGCTGACTAGATAGACAGGCTGTTTCCCCGGGCCCTCCCTGCAGCCTCCCTTCTTCCTTAGGTGCCTTCAGTGCCTTCGGTGCCCCGCCCTCAAACGATAGATCCTTGCCTGAGCTCCGCCCCCAGCCCATCAGTCTTTGCCTCAGCAAGGCCCCTCCCACCACTCCCTAGGGCCCCGCCCCCAGCCCTGCACAGACCTGCTCACCAGCCTTCCCATGGAGCACGGGTTGTGGCAGGGCCATCTCCAGCCTGTGCCGGAGCCAAGCCATCAACCTGCAAATGGGAGAAAGCAGGCCATGTCTAAGTGGTGGGGCTCACGGGGAAACTGAGACCAGAGTCAGGTCCCTCCCAAGGCAGACAGCAAGCCCACCAGAAGGCAGACCAGAACCAGGTCTCTAGCCCCAAAGACTGTTGCCCTCCTCCCTCTGGGTACCGCTCAGACCCCAGCAGGTAGCTCAGCACCCACTCTGCCACCCCCACCCCGGAAGTGCATGCAGGTGTCTCACACACTGCCAGGGCAGGAGCATTTGGCAACACATATCCCGATTTTAAATGCATGCATCCTTTGGCTCAGCGATGCCAGGTTCTCAGATTTGCCCTACAGATTTACTTGCATGTGAGTGAAATGATGCTTGTACAAGCCACTGATTGCAGTGAAAGAGTAGAAACAAGCTATGTAAAAGCTGGTACCACCCTATAATAGAGTACTCCGAAACAGTTGAAAGAGTGAAGCAGACCAATCCAGATAAAACCACCTCTAAGATACTTTTTATGTGTTTTTTGTCTTTAACTTTTTAATGTTTATTTATTTTTACGAGAGAGAGAGAGAGAGAGAGAGAGAGAGAGAGAGAGGCAGAGAGACTCGAGCAGGGGAGGGGCAGAGAGAGAAGGAGACACAGTATCTGAAGCAGGCTCCAGGCTCTGAGCTGTCAGCACAGGGCCCGACTCAGGGCTCAAACCCACAGACGTTGAGATCACGACCTGAACCACTTAACCAACTGAGCCACCCAGGTGCCCCTAAGATGCACTTCTTGGTGAAGAAAGCAAAATGCAGAACAGGGTATGCAGTTTGCTGTTGTCTGGTCCGTGTGTTGGTTTGAAGGAGAAATGTCCTCCCAGCTTGTTTGTGGGTAGAAAATGTGTTGAATGGCAGAGAGCTGTTGATGGGAAGAGACCCCAGAAACCCCTTTAAATTTTCTCCCCAGGGCATGGGTGACTTTGAAAATTTAAAAAACTAGTCTGGGGGCACCTGGGTGGCTCAGTCGGTTGAGCATCAGACTCCTGATTTCAGCTCAGGTCATGGGATCAAGCTCTGTGTTGGGCTCTGTGCTGAGCATGGAGACTGCTTAAGATCCTGTCTCTCTTGGGGCTCCTGGGTGGCTCAGTTGGTTAAGCATCCGACTTTGGCTCAGGTCATGATCTCACGGTTCATGGGTTTGAGCCCCGCATCAGGCTCTGTGCTGACAGCTCAGATCCTGGAGCCTGCTTCGGATTCTGTGTCTCCCTCTCTCTCTGCTCTTCCCCCACTCATGCTCCGTCGTCTCTCTCTCAAAAATAAAT